TCTTCTCCAGGCTGAACCCATCTACTCCATATTTTATTACCACTTTTTTCACAACTAGATCTTCTGCAGATAAAAAAACCTACTGGCATGAAAGGCTAATTTTACATTTGCATTGAAAACACACCTAAAAGCATCGTCTTACGAGACTACAGTGTATTTAGGAATATGTGAGCAAAAAGGAACCTAATCTGTTACGTTTTCACACCCAAATCCAGGGTAAGCACTCACCATCTCCCATTTCATCTGAGAAAGGCAGACTGAAGACGGCCTCATCGATCATGCGGTTGGGGAGGTTGGTATAGAACCGGCCAACTGTCGTTTCCAGGTTACTCAACTGGTTTAGAACCATCATGCTTCCCTTGATCACGGGGAGGGCTGTTCGGTCCGGCACGCCGTACTTCACCGAGTTCTGCTCTGCCAGGTCACGCAGAAAGGCCAGTTCCTTCAAACCTGTCACTCCCTCTGAAACAGAGATGTGAGAAATGGAAGGAAGGAGATAGAAGCAGCTTACTTTCCATCACAACTTCTGTATCTTACTCCAGGAGGAACTACGTAGTAAGCTACCGTAGGACTGATGACACTACGGGCTTATTCAAGCGATAAGGTGAAGTGCTGAAAGACTAGCATGGTTTTAGGAAAAGTAATTAGCTAGTACAAAAATTAATCAGATTGCCTCTCACATACTGTGGCATGGTGCACAAATTCAACATGCTGTTCAGATCACCACTTTAAACACCACATCTTTTAACAAAGAATTATGTGACCCATAAATCCACAGGACAGCTCTTTGTTCTCCACCAGTGGCTGGTCCACATAAAGGACCAGGAGCGTATCATACGCCCTTGGAGATAACAGGCTTTGTTCTTTAGCTTGAACTTTCACATTTTACATAAGTCCCAGGCTCAATTCCTGCAGACAAATCAAAGATTTCTGTACATATTAGGTCTCAAATGAGTATTTAAATTTACAGTCAAATGATACATGAGTTTCCTTGGCTGGAGTCCGTGTGCAATGGTTAGAAATACAGCATACAGCCTTCTTACTGAAAATGCTTGGTTGGAAAAAGCCCAGGATGCCAAAACACTCTGTGTGTGTGTGTGGGTGTGTGTGTGTGATCTTCATATTTAACTTCACTCTTAAGTTGGGTCCTAAGCATTTCAGATTACATCTGATGTTACATTCATGCTCCTTGGCTGATGACTGATACAGAATTCACTTACACTCTCATTTTGCTGCACCAGGAAACACAGGGAAGTTTCAGGAAGGTTTAGAATTGCAATAGTTATCACATTTAATTCAGTCTGGTTGTCACTAGACAATTTAGGCAACGATATTTTATATCCTGAGCAGCTGCACTGTGATATATAAGCATATAGTAGCACATAGTTTTATACACCAAAGAGGTAACATCTGGATGCAGCCTCTGGATCACAGGGGCCAAAATCCACTAACAAACCGCTCCTGATAAGGCGTGGAATTACATTTGGATGAGTTTAATAAAACTAGCTGTACAATGAGAGGGAATTTTCATCCACTGGAAAGACAAAAACATTTCTCACCATTCATAAGCGCGTAAGTAAGAATCATGACTGAGTTATTCAGGAAACTATTTTCTTCATTGATGACACGGAGAGTGGCTTTTTTATCATCTTCTGAGGAATCTTTTGATGTAATCCCAGCCGAGAGATAAATTATGACCATATCGGTATCTAAAAATAATTAAATATATATATATAGCAGAAAGTGCATTAGATTTTTAACTCGGGGAAGTCATATGGTAAGTAAGAGTCCTTACATCTGCTTAACACTGTAAATTGCCAACAGCTTCATCTGGGAGATTCACAGGAATTGACACTGGAAAAAACACACTGCAGTCTAATGAATAATATCCTTCGTTATTAAACTTTCATTCACAGCACTGAACACACATCTGTTTCATTTGGTGCCTACCAGCCACCCAGAAGCACCGGGGCTTGTTTCTCCTGAGCAGAATTCACAGGCACCTTCTGACCCAGCTGCAACCAGGGAGGAGCATGTGGGAGACCAGCGTGCTGGAGAAGCTGCTCTGCTGCGTGGAGAGGGCTTAACAAAAGCAAAAAAACCTGACTCACTGTTCTTCTCCTGTCCTGTCATGCTGTGGAGATGTGCTGCATCGGATGGTACTTCCTACAGGAAAAGTGCGCGGTGTTTTCCCAGCCGTTGCTGCTGGAAGAGCTGTGCAGGGGCTCAGCACCACTGGTGCTGCCAGTAACAGGACCCTCCTCATAGAACTGCTCACAGAATC